AAAACCCCGCAACTTCGCTGTGGATGGAAGTCTATTTTTAGAATTCCTGGTTTTCTCTTGGCGTCACCCATATATAAATTGTATAAGAAACTTAGGTTTATTAATAATAGAGGTTACTTTTATTCTTCTTTATTCTCTAAAATTTGAAATAAATCTTAAATATGAGGTTTGTATTATTAGTTATCACGAGTAATCACGAGTAACAACGGGTAATCACGGGTAACAACGGATAATACGGGTAATCACGGGTAATCATGGTAGATCTAATACTGTCCAATCAGTGATAGAAATATCATCGACCAATCGGCCAATAGAAATTTGAGGGAAATTAGAGTATATGATCTACAGTAATACTAGCTGTTCAAGCAACTTCATCAAAAAAATGGGTAAAAAAGACAAAAAAACCGCCAAAGGTTGTAAAAAAATAAAATAAAATAATAAAAATAAAAAACAATAAAATAATAAAAATTCTAAATTGATAACTTTCTCTGAATAGGACGTTTGGACAAGTATTACCACTTGGCCAAAGAACAAGGATATCGTTCCCGTTCTGCCTTTAAGCTTATTCAATTAAACAAAAAATACAGTTTTTTAGAAAAGTCACGATGCTTGGTAGATTTATGTGCTGCGCCCGGGGGTTGGTGAGTTCATATTGAAGGGTTTAAGGTTGTGTGCATTCGCTAAATTTTTAATTTTGCTGAAGGTTGCAAGTTGCGAAAAAATATATGCCTGCATCAAGTTTAATTATTGGTTTGAGAATTTCTTAATTGAATCAATTCTAAATGATCTATTGAATTTTATAAAATTTTTAATTCACATTTAAATCTGATAAAAAGGTATTGATCTCGTACCTATTAAACCGATTCCAAGTATTATAACTTTCCAAGAAGATATCACTACTGACAAATGTCGTTCTATAATTCGAAATGAGCTAAAAACTTGGAAAGCTGATGTGTAAGTAATCCTTTACTATGTTTGTTATATTTAATATTTTTAATGTAATAATTTTTCGTTTTTAAGAGTGCTTCATGATGGTGCCCCAAATGTGGGTATTTCTTGGCTGCAAGATGCTTTCTCCCAATCTGAATTGACATTGAAAGCGTTGAAATTAGCTGTAGAATTCTTGAATCAAGGAGGTTCTTATCTGTTATATAATATTGTAATATTCTTTTCTATTAATTACTCATGTATGCTTAGTTTTCTACTACTGTTCGATTGTCCAGGCACATTCGTGACTAAAGTTTTTAGATCCAAGGACTATAATAATTTGATCTGGGTTTTTAACCAGCTATTTAAAAAAGTAGAGGCTACAAAACCGGCTTCATCGAGGTACGTTGTGCTAGGTTATCTTTATGCTTGTCTATTCTTTTTTGTAATAGTCTCGATTTTTATCTATAATGTTAGAAATGTCTCTGCGGAAATTTTCGTTGTTTGTCGCGAGTTTCTTGCTCCAAAGAAAATTGATCCAAAATTTCTTGATCCTCGGGCGGTTTTCCAGGAAGTTGAGATCGGACCTACAAATAAATCCATTGATGTTTTGAATCCAGGAAAAAGAAAACGATTCAGAGAAGGTTACGAAGATGGGAATTATACGTTATATAAAGAGATTTCGGTTTTAGACTTCATTAATTCAGATGATCCGATTCGAATTCTTGGCGATGTTAATAAATTAAAATTTGATGAGAAAGCAAAAGAGTAAGTTGTATAAATTATGATTAAATATAATTATAATTTATTAATTATTTAGCTTTTCTTTATATTAATTATTACCTAGGTTATTGAACGATGAATCTACAACTGAAGAAATAAAATTATGTTGTGATGACTTAAAAGTTTTGGGCAAAAAAGAATTTAAAAATCTTTTGAAGTGGCGAAATACGGTTAAAGAAAAGGTATGCATTATTTTATTTTCTACCCGTGATTATTTGTTAATAACTCTTTTTTTTTTCATGAAACAGAATACATCGATCGAAGAGAATTCTACCAAAGATGATGAAAAAGTTGATGAAGAAGTTGATGAAGATCAGATAATCCAAGATGAGGTTTTATATGAATTCATTTGTAATTTCTACGTCTCCATTTACCGTATGCTAAAGCCTTTTTAAAATTTGATTCAATATAGCTTGATGAGCTTACCAAAGAAAAGCAAGCTCGACAAAAACGACTTCGTCGAAAAGCCAATGAAAAGCGACAGAAAAATATTGTTCGAATGCAACTAAAGATGATTTCCCCTACTGATATCGCATTAGAGAGTTCAGGGCCTGATGGTGGTGACCCATTATTCGATTTAAAACAAGTTGATAAAACAGGGGTAATTTCTATTTATTTAATTATGGTCTTGTTTTAATGATTAGTTCTAAATTAATAACTAATAATATGTAAATAGGTGTTAAGGAAAATACGCAAAGGGAATATGGACATTGTTCTTGATCAAGACAATGATAATGATGACATTGTGATTGAAGATCAAAATTTGTTAAAAGATCATTATAAAGTTTCGGAAAATTATGATGAGGCTAGTGATGACATTCAATTGGAAAAGGAATTAGATGAGCTGTAAGAAAATGTCCTACATGTTCTTTTTTTTTTTTGCAAACAATTCAAACAAGCCTAACATAAAAATTTATATATGATTTCAGCTATGAACAATATGTAGAGCGCAGAGCAGAACGTGACGCAAAATATAAAGTGAAGAAAACACGAAAGGAATATGAAGATTGGAATGATATTCAAAAGTCTGAAAGCAGTGATGACAATGATGATATAACCATGGATTCTGTGCATTCACAAGATGACAGTTATTCATCATCTAGTGATAATGATTCTGAATTAGAAAATGAGTCATTTAATGAACTGAAAAGTGAACCAGCTAAAAAAAAGAAAAAATTATTAACAGATTTGAGCGACGACGATAGTAAAGTTCAAATGGTTGGCGGTTTGAGTAAGAAGACTACACTTTTCTTTGATAATCCGTTATTTAAAGATGTATTGGAAAACTATGATAATGAGAACCATAAGAGTAAAGCTGATGATGTTAGTAATCATGGAGTATCAGGTGGTTACAACCGCGCATTCATAGTTTGTCTAAGATTGTATCAATTCTTTATTGTAGATTGGAGACAACACAGATGATGATATAGAAATAGTTCCTCAAGACAAAGGTAACGATAAAGAAATGTTGGATGCCAATGAAATTGTCGATGATGAAACAAGAACGAAGAGAGCAAAAGGTACGGCAACCCATATAAATAAACAGATCGTACAGTTTTTAATATTTCTTTTTTAGAAATTGGGCTGACCACTGCAGAAGCGATAACCTTAGCGCAACAGCTTGTAAATCGACAAAAAACAAAACATGATCTCATAGATGAAGGCTTCCGTCGATACACGTATAATGATAGGGAAGGATTACCTGAATGGTTTCTAGATGACGAAAAGCAACACAACAAATTGAATGTGCCAGTGACTAAAGAGGCTGTGCAGGCAATCAGAGAGCGAATGAAAGCTTTAAATGCCCGGCCAATTAAAAAAGTTGCAGAAGCTAAAGCTCGGAAAAAGATAAGGGTATATATGTTTTTTGTTTTTGATTTTTTTTCGTTTTTTAATTAATAATAATTTGTATTATTTGGTAATCATTTGTTGCTTTGAACATATTAGGCTATGAAAAAACTTGCTAAACTCCAAAAGAAAACTGATGCTATAATCGATTCTTCTGACATGACTGAGAAAGAAAAAGTTAATACAATTTCAAAAATGCTGAGTAAGACGCAAAATAAGACCAAAAAAGAAGTGAAGCTGGTTGTTGCTAAAGGTCCTACTAAAGGTAAAAAAGGCCGTCCAAAGGGTGTTAAAGGAAGATACAAGGTAATTCAGTCTTTTGTATGATCTTCGATAATTCAAGTTGTGCTTATAATTATTTAACTCAACATCAGATGGTGGATTCACGATTGAAAAAGGACACTCAGGCAATGAAAAGGGCCAATCAGAAAGGTGGTCCAAGAAAAAGGCGGAGATGATTTGATATTTTTATTAATAATGGAGTTTTGGTATCACTTTAATAGAAATTAAGAGTTCTCTCTACGCTTAGGATAAATATTTGTAGTTCTAATACATAATTTGAATTAAATTGCGTTTAGTTTTTATTTAAAAAAAGCTTATTTAAATTAAAGGAATATTGTAGCGCTATACAAAATAGTCTTATACTGTAATTAGAATTAATTTTTATTAAAATTTAGGGTAAGTGTGCAGTTTTAGAAAAAAAAATAGGTTTTTTGAGATACAGTATCCCTGGTGTAATCACCACCAGTGCTGTGCGGATACCGCACAATTTAGAAACTTTTCTGTGCGGCGAATCAAAAAAACTATAAGCAACTATTTACAAGTGTGCGCACTACTTACAAAATGTTAATTTTTCTGTGCGGCATCCGCACATCTGTTCAAAGAAAATGTGCGCAACATTTTGTTTCCGTGTGCTGCGCACAGTCCGCACAAAGAAAAATAATCACGGTTAAAATATATCAAAGATCAACCCCGGATTTAGATAGATTTGGATCGGCGCCCGCCTTGTTTACACCAACCCTGATTGGCTATCATAAATGATATTCACCTGATCTTGATATCAAATGATCAAAACAAAATAACTCGATAATCATACTTTTCAACTTTTACGTGTTAGAATTTTTTTTTCAACTTTTACGTGTTAGAATTTTTTTCGTGTTTTTTGTGAATATACAATACTTTAAATAGAAAAGTAAGTATTTTATAGAGATCATAGTTCGTAATAATACTAGTATTTGTACCTGCTAGATACGTCTAACAGGGTTCGGAGTTGTACTTACTCCTGCAAATACTAAAGAAAATTTGTTATGTAAATCGTGCTGAAAAGGTAACTGATAATGCGGCGGGAGGAGAAGGGTTCAGTTACATATATTTTTCGGCCAAAAGGTTCTACTGAATTCTGAAGAAGGAATTTGGTTACGTACCTTTGTTTATATAACAAAACTTCTTTGTTATGTATTTTTACATCTACTGTCTTGTTTGTTTTTTATGCTTATTGTGAAATATAAATCATTTCTCATTCGATTTTACTTTTATATAGGCGGATATTAATTATTTCCGGAGCAGAACGGAGGAATTTGTCTAGACAATAGGTAAGAAAAATTCTGTATGGGTCGACTTCAATTCAAATTGCAATAATCAAAATTTAATCAGCAATAATCAACTATATAAGTAATCAATTTTAACTTTTATCAAATATGACATATTATTCTTTCAAATTAATATATACAATTTATTACAAAATTTTTATTTTCTACAATTTAAAAAAAATTCATCGATATTCAGTATTATGTAGTTGGTCGATTATAGTAATAATAATAAAATAATAATCATCAAAACTAGCGATATCATAATTGAAAATAAGTTATATTTTCATATATCGAAACATACTTAAGTAGAGACGTTAATAATCGACTCAACCTGCCATATATTTTTTATAATTATAGAAATAAATGCTATATATGAGTTCAGTACAGTAATAAATCAAATTTTTGAAAGACTTCAACGTGTTAAAAGATACAAGAACGAATACTTGAAGTGATTTATTAATTTCGCATTTAATATGGATATTTAAATATTCTCATGGGTACTTTTTTTAAATTAAAATGTTTTGTGTATTTTTTATAGCGTCTTATAAACTGATTTGAAATGTAGATGTAATAAGAACTACTTAAATTTTTGGTGATCTAATAAGTGAGGACAATTTCTTATGTAAATTATATAACTACATCATCTTAACTCACCTCATAGCACTAAAGTGATCAAATTGCATCTAAGAACCGATTTTACAGAGTTAACGCCCTTTAGCTTTCATTGGACAGACATATGAAGATAGGTATATAAATGTTATACGCTTACACTATAAGAATTTTTATTAATATCTTGTAAATAATTAGATTTGTTTACAAATACAAAGCGGCGCTCCGGAACCCAACGGATCCCGTTTTCCTAGTATAGATTAATACTGTAAATATTTATACTGTACTTTCTCGATATAACGAAGCTCTGAAGCTAAGGTGTTTGGTTTGATATATTAAGGTTTCGATATATTGAGGTACCTTACTATAATAATCCATAATTTCAGCTAGAAAAATTCTTCGTTATAGAGTTTATCGAGGTTATGCTGTAGGAAAAATAAAATCAATTGGGTAATATTTAGTTAAATACGTTGATTAGCAAATAATACTTATCGTTATCTAAATAAAGTTAATAAGTAAATCTTTATGAATCGTTATATATCACATTGGAATTCCTGTTAATCTCGAATTGGCATAAATCACTTTGGAATCATAATTTGACGTATGCTAAATAATGATCGGTATGTCGTCAACGATTATGATACCGGATAATAAAAAATACAGTACAAAAATGTTAAAATAAGCAGCACGACGCACGATATTTTTTATTTGAATATTTATTCCAGCACTACATGATTGATAATCA